CCTTATGACATTAAAACAATGGCAGGATGAAACCAATACTACATTCAAAGGTATATAGTTACAGTTAAAAAGACATTGCATTTGTAAGAAACTTACAATTCAGAGATAAGGTTATCAGGTCTGATTACATGAGAGTAATCAAATGTAGTCATTATAGAAGCAGCATGGATCATCTTACATTTGAAAATATTTTAATCTAGAAAATTGAATGCAATACGTTAGATACCACATCCAAGGATACCTGACTCTTGGATGTGGCCTAGGATGTTATACTGAACACTCATTTGTTCTCCCTGGGCAAGCAGAATGTAGAAAGGAAATGTGGAAATAAAAAGAGGGTCCACTCAGATGTTTTTGGATGCTTTTTAAAATACAACAGGAATTCAGATCAAATCAGAAGTAAGTTGCATATCTGGAGTCTTCTGAGTGATTTTCTTACTTGATGATACCTGGAAGAAACAAGGAATCACCATGATTCTGAAACTCTATCTCTTTGTTCTGCCATTCCCCTCTTCAAGTGACTTGCCCAGGGTCACACAGTTAAATGTCTGAGGCCAGATTTGAACTCAGAAGATGAGTCTTCCTGACTCTACTGCACTACCTATCACTAGTCATCTTGATTTTTGTCATGGACAACTGGAAGAAAGTGAGGCTGACAACTTTGCACAGCTCTGCCTTACTTAAATCCAATTCACACGTAGGTCAAGACATCACCCGTGATGTCACTGGGTGTCCTTCAAAAATGAAGGATGAACAATTACCATCACTTCACAAATTGCCAATCATGGACAAAAAAGGTGGCTTATAATTAGAGAAGGTTTTTCAAAACCTTTTTCAAAAGGTCCAGCAAACAGATCAGCCTGTAACCTCTATAAACCAGGTAAAGTAAGTGAACTTCCCAATTGCTAATCAAGGTTTTTGCCCATTTCTTTCAGCTCTAGTGAGGCCTAAAAGTGAGAAAATGTGTAGTATATAACTTTAAGCTGGCAGAAAGTAAAGTGGGTTTGTGTATTAAAAGCTCCCAACCTTAGATTCTACCCTTTTTAGATGTCACAGATGTACCAACAAAGATGGCAGTATCTGCATTGTTGGGTCATTATCTCCTGCTTCTCTTTTAATGTGGTTACAAAGGTAGGAGGGAGGGATGTTGGAAATGAGACTCAAGACAAGAGAGGGCTTGTAGTACAACCTGGACAGCCTGACACCCCCCAAGGGGTGGAGGACAACAATACAGGCCTGATTTCTCCTCCTTCTTGGGCATAGGGCCCCTCCTACACTGAATGGAAGGCTGGTGGCATTCTAATTCAGAACTGACGGTGGTGGGGTGGGGTTGAGACCGTAGGACTGCTTAAGGACATGACCACAGTTCTCCTTTCAGTGAAAAGGCCAATCCTCTCAGGTAGAACTTTATATTCTTACCAAATTGGCTTTATTGAGTAAAAAACAACAACAACAACAACAACAACCAAAAAACCTGAGCACAAACAAATTAATTATTCAACGACCCACTTCAACTTCTAATTCTGGGACAAATTTGATTTTCCCTTCCACAGATAGTCCTAATTGATCCCATCAAATTTCTGAGTCATCTAAGGCATCTTCTTACACAGGATTCATTTTCCTACTCCAAAAGTTACACCAAATTTCAATGTCATAAGGAAGTAAAGTATTTAAGGGATAGTTGTCAACAGAGCTATCACTTTGTTCCCCCCTATGGTGAATGTCCAGACAGAAGTGTTTTATAAGATTATGTAACTATGATGCCTTGGCCTCCACTATCCCAGCGACCACTTGTTTATGCCCAGAGAGATCTGTGAGCTTTTGCCGAGCACATAATGGTCAATATCTCTGCTGGAGCAGTTAGTGTACCAGAAGGATTCACCTGATTTCAGTATAGTGTAACTGGGTTTCTAGATAAGGTCACGTTCAGTTTCTGGGTGGAATCTCTTTTGCTGATATTTTGAATTCCAAGGTTGAGCTGCCAACTCTGAAGAGAAGCTTCTTTTCTTTCCAGATATCTGTAAGGAGTTCATTAAAGCACTTAGAAATGTAGATGGTTCAGGAAGAAAATATGAAAATTAAAAAAAAAAAGGCAAAAAAGCACTGGCTTAAGAAGTGTCATGTAAATGATGAAAGAAAACCTTTGTCTCCTGGCTTATCTAGACATCCTATTTCCCTTCCCCACTCCCCAAAAAGGGTATAGGAATAAAAGATAGTTTTTTATTAGTTTAAATATGATTATTTTCTGAAATCTGAAGATGTCAGATTTGAATATTTAGAATGGTTGAAACCTTCCACAAAACGGATAGGTATTCTACCCTACCCAGTAAGAAGTTTTGTATTAAAGGGAATAAGCATACAAGGACATGAGACATGATGAGGAAGTTTTGAGCTGTAGCCTGACATGTGAGAAATCTGACAAAAGGAAACTAGCCTTTACCTTGACATTGTCTGGCTTTTTAATTTAGGAATAAAATAATTTCATATTAAAGTATTTTATGGGTTCTCAGTTTTACAATCAAATATGGCATTTGAAAATAGAATTTAAGTGTAGGTTTCATTTTTTTTTCATCAATCCACTTACAGTTGTTCCCTCTTATACCCAAATAGAGGGATTTTGTACTTTCACTGTTGTCCTTTGAATATTTTGACACTAGAACTTTTGGTAAGGGACAAAATAAAGCAATCCTGGATGGGAGGACTATTAGCCCTGTCCCAGCATTAAGTTAAAATTTATTTTCTTTGTGTCTCTTGCAAAAACTAGGGAAAATTTGGTATTCTTTTTGTCATTTAATCTTCAGTTATAGTAGTTTCTGACTCTGCTTATCTAGGTAGGTCTTGTTTTAAAGTTAATATGTTCCCCAGAAATTGTAAATCTAAGTTTTATAAGTAGAATAATTTGAAAATGTACCAAAAGATCTTCCCATTTAAAGAAAATCTGTGGTTAGTTTAGCCTTTTTGATATTTTTTTTTTGTTAACAAAGAAACCAGTCACTCCCTAATTTACCTGCTCTTTAAATTTGGTTTTTGTATGTTGAGTTTTCTTACGTACCAAGGCACATCTGCATTAAGGTCTCAGTTTTATCTCAGTTATCACCATTATTGTTCGGTCATAATTCACCACATTTAGTTTGTTTTTCTTCATTAGGGAATTTAATGCCATTTCTGCTGGGCATTTAGCCTTTTTTTTTTTTAAATTAAAGTTATAGCCTTTAACAGATCAGTCAAATACTCAAATTCTCTCAGGAGTTCTAGAGATAAGAGAATTTAAGAGCTTATCTAACCCAACCTTATAATTTTAGAAATGAGGAAAGTGGGCCCAGGAAGGTTGACTTAATGCCTTGGGTTGCACAGTTGATTTGTGGTAGAACTGACTTTCAGAACCACTCAGCTCTTCCACCAGATAAACTAAGACTATTATTATACTATTTCTGAGAAGTACAGGGAGACTTCTTGAACTGGAAGGGAGATACCAAAAAGAAGATTTTTTTTTTCAATATTTTCAATCCTAGGTGGGAGGTGAAGATAGAGGTAGACCAAGGGGGAGTGGATGAGGGACATCTATGGACTAGACTTTCAACACCAATTTATTTTGCAAACATTAAGTACCCACTAAGTTCAAGACACTGTGCTAAGTTCTGGGTAGGTACAAAGACAAAAATAAAACTGTCCTTGCCCTCATGTGGCTTATGTTCTAGTGAAAGAAAAGACTACATACAAACACACACACACAATGTTATTTGAAGGGGGAAAGAGCACTAGCCACTGAATGGCAAGGAAATTAGGGAAGGCTTCTCGGAGGAGATGGTCCCGAGCTGAAAGCTTGGAAAAGAAGATAAGGATTTTTAAAGACAAAGATAAAGAGGGAGTACATGACAGGCACACATACAGGGAGTACACCCAGGCTTGTGCAAATGTACTGAGGAAGGAGATGGCACATTGCATTCAGGAAACAGATGAACAACAAATATGAGGGGTCATCAAATCATGAGCAGGGAAGTAATGTAAAATTAATTCGAAAAGGTAGGTGGGAGGCAGATTGGGCAAGTCCTTGAATCAGGCAGAGAAGTCTATATTTTATCCTAAAGGCAATTAAAAATTTTTGAACAGGAGAATAACATTGTCAGATCTGTGCCTTAGGGAGACTTGGGTTCAGATGCTGTTTCAGCCAATTCAGCACAGTAGGGACAATGTTTCGGTCATATTTCTGTCCTTTTCTCGGCCCTCCTTAGTCATTCAATTATGTGTCAGGAGGAGACTCTAGGGTCAAGGAGAGTCAAGGATGGGGACATGGTCTCCAATGGTAATTTTCCACTGGAATAAAAAGGGTCATACATCTATGTGTGGAAGGAAAATAAATTAGAGCGTCAATAGCATTTAGACTTATTGACATGTTAATGTGAACATTTTTTTTGTAATTTGTTTAAAAATCATGTTTTGTTTATATTTGAAGAAAAAAGTTCTTAAAATGCTTTGGAAAACCATACCCTCAGAGAGTATTTTTCTAAAATAGGATGGCAAATATTTATAATTTTTTCCCTCTTTAGTTAGAGGTAAGTGTCAGTCAAGATTCAAGGAAAGAAAATAAACCTTGGTGGGGTGGGAGGGAGAGAGAGGGCATTCTTGCCTTTCTCATTCTATATTCATTTTATATATTTGATTGAGATGTTAATACAGTGCTGATAATGGATTAGACTTTTGTTAAGCTCATTACCTCCTCATTGGCAAATGCACTTCTCTTTAAGCAGATCCATTATTACCTAATTTTATTTTGATCTTGTTTGCAAAGATGTGCCAGTTTATGCCTGGGATAGTTAAGATATTATTGCTTTGAATGATTCTTCTGTATTTAACTGTGAAGTTGTTTTTTCATGCCTCACAGAATAAGATATATACAATAAAAGCATTCTCTGGAAAGGATCAATGAAAATTGGAGGACATCTAATTACCATTAGTCAGAACAGCAGGCAGTGTAGTGCAAAAGAGCAGATTGAACACTCATGGATGATTTGGATTTATCTGGACATACAACTGATAAGGAGCAAGAGGACTTGCCTTACGATGGGAACTTGACAGAGAAGGCTGAGCTGCTCCATAGCCACTGTGATGAGATTTTCCCCTTAATAAAGGATATGTCTGAAGCTTTCCAACAACCAATCTTTTCATACACAGGAATGCCTCAAGAAGACACTCACAAGAGATGTGCAAATGACATTTTTCCTGAAACTTCTGTAATTAAAAAGGGCAATAAAGAAGAACTATACACTGGATTTTTTCACATTCCAACTAATAATAAGAGGCCTTCAAATTCAAAAATTTCTGATGTTTTACTCCAACATCTGTCCAAAAAAGAGTTTTCAAATGCTGTCCAGCCTGTTGCTTGTGAAACTTTCCCTGAGCTGTCATTTGAAAGTTTTGATGAAACCATTGTTAAAAGCCTTATTCTGCACTGTAATGAAAGTTCTTTGTCAAGAGAACCAAATACAGAACCCTCTGACCAGCTCCTCCGTAAAAGAAATGTCATGTGCAATCAGTTGAGTCACAGACATCTCACAAGGAATGAAAGTATTTTTGATTTTAATTTTGAAGAATCATTGGCTCCTAGAGACTGCTTTCAAGGAATTCCGAATTTTGTAGCTGAAAACAGAAGTCCAAATTATCTACAAACAATGTACAGAGGGCAGACACCTCAGCAATGTCTGTTTGAAAGACTTAGCTCAGAAAATGGGCTTACCTACGGCCAAGATCAAGTTTATGATCTCCTTTCTGATTTCTCTCAAGTTGCTCCCCAAATCAGAATGTCTAAATCTGATATCCATCATAGATTGGCGACCATAGTTCAGCAAACCAATTACTCTCCTAACTTGAGTGAGAAATCATCTATTGTGCAAGATGGTTTAGAAAGTATGGCTATAAATTTTCTTGTCAGAAAGCCCCAAGAGAATAAAGAAGAAACTACTGAGTTTTTGCAACACTTACAGGTAAATAAAACGTGACCCTCGGAGGTATTGCAATTAACGCTTTTCACCTGTGTGAGTGTAACTAGGGGGAGGGCCTCTGGGAGAGAGTCAGGAGACCCACAGGCAAAGTCAGGCCTTTACCACTGACTTTGTGTACAGCTTTGAGCTAGGGGAATTCACCTCTCTGGGCCTCAGTCTCTTCCTCTGCAGACTGAAGGGGTTGGATTAAATAGTTGCTTGGGATGTTTGTGACTATTAGATGCTCTCTGAAAATCTGTTCCATCTCAATGGTTCTTTTCTACTTTGACAAGCTCTCATTGGTGAGGGATGTCACTGTGATGCCAGAATTAGCTGTACTATAGTAGCAAGATCACTGGATGTACAGTCAGAAGACTTGGGTTCAAAATCTGGCTGCTTCTACTTATTACCTATGTGACCTTGGGCGAGTCACTTCCTCTCTTTGGGCCTCAGTTTCCTCATCTGTAAAATGAGAGTATTGTCAAACTCCGTGATCTCTTCCATCTCTAGCTCCATATATATATATGTATATATATGTATATATATGTGTATATATATGTATATATATACACATATATCCCATGATCTATATCTCCAACATCTAACTAATTTTTCAATTATATTCCTCTAATGTTAAAATAGCTTTTGTATGTCTCTAGTAGTTCTCTCCTTGATTGGTATGCACAAAAAAAAATGTTCTTTTCCTCTATTGTACAGGTAAATGTAGAGCCTCTCCTGGATGTTTCAGAAAGAGCTCTTTCAGGTAGACATTTAAAAACTTCTTTTACATATATGTATATATATATATATACATATCCAACATCTGTGACTTTTACTATAAACTTCTTTTTGCATTTCATTCTGACATTGTGGGCAATAATTGTAAATAATGACTAATGCTTGATTTTATTATACAGGACTAGTATCGAAGACAAATGTCTTGAAATTGTCATCAACTACTGAAGAACAGGTGCCTTCAAGGGCCTCCCAATTACTTAAAAAAACAACAAAAAGAGACAACATGTGTCAGGAATTAACGGAGCAGACCAAGAACTTGAAAACTAAAGTAATGTTTAAAAACTCTTCATATTACCGATTGCTGATAGAACGATAAAGATAACTGTGCAGAAAACTTCATGCTTACATCAAGTTTTTTTGTCATAGGTAGAAGAATTTTCTAAAAGAATAAACCAGGATTCTACTCCTTTAGAAGATAGTAAACAGGTAATAATTCTAAATCTCCATCTATTGTCTTCTCTGGCTTCCTTTAAGCCCTAACTAAAAACCTATCTCCTACATGAAAACTTTTCTTATCCCTCTTAATTCTAGTGCCCTTCCTTCTCTTAATTATTTCCTGTTTATCTTGTATATATCTTGTTCGTACATGTTTGCTTGTTTCTCCATTAGATTGTGAGTTCCTTGTGGGCAGAGATTGTCTTTTGGCTCTTTTTGTAGTACTTACACAGTGTTTGGCACATAGTAGATGCTCAATAAATGTTTTTTGATTGACTAATACAATTTTTTTTTAGTGAGGCAATCAGGGTTAAGTGACTTGCCCAGGGTCACACAGCTAGTAAGTGTCAGATTTGAGACCAGATTTGAACTCAGGTCCTCCTGACTCCAAGGCTGGAGCTCTATCCACTGTGCCACCTAGCTGCCCCTGACTAACACAATTTTTAAAAACTAATTTGTCAAAGAAGTCAATCCAATTCAACAAAATTTTTAAAACACCTACTATGTGCAGGGCATCGTGCCTAGGCGCTGGTAGTATGAAGATGAAAATGAAGCAGCCTCTACCTTTGAAGAGCTTACGTTTTACTAGAAAGATACAACATGTACACAAATCAACATTGTACAAGGAAAAAAGAAGAGAGAAAGAGCACAAACAAAAGAGGGGTATGATTGAGTCATACAGAAAACTCAGAAGTAACTGGGTCATCAGCTGTGTCCTGTAAAGGCTGTGTGAAAATTGACATTGTATCTCCAGTTATAGTCTAATTACTAGACCCTTTTCAGGAAGCTTCATCAATATAGTTAACCGATGCTTTTGGGAGAAAGATGGTGTGTAGGGGATGGGGTGCTGGCCTTCTCAGCTCCTGTTGTTCAAGGCCCTCTTGTTGTCTCTACAATCTGATACCAACCCACCTGTCTAGCTTTATTTCATATTATCATCTTGACACATTCTAAATGCCAGCAAAACAAAATTATATACTGATTCAAGTCACCAAGCATTTGTTAATTGCCTACTATGTGCCAGGCATGATGTTAAGTGCTGAGGATACAAAGAAAAGGGAAGTAGTCTCTTCTCTGAAGGAGTTCACAATTTAATGGGGAGGACAACTTGCAAACAACTATGTTCAGACAAGCCATTTTTTTACAGGATAAATTGAACATAATCTCTGAAGGAAAGTACTAGCTTTATGTTCTTCCCACCTCTATACTTTGTGTATAACAAGACCCATGATAAGAATGTTCTTTCTCCTTAACTTTTCCCCCACCCTTGCATCTCCACCTGTCAGAATCCATTCCCTTTTACCTATTCCCTGAAGCCTTCCTTGATTCCCACAGCCACAAATCATAGAATTATAGATCTTTTCTCAAATCTCTCCTATGCATTTATATTCTAGGTATTTGTATATTTGTTTTTCAATTAAAAACATTTTCCCCAGCAGCTCAATTTTATTTTCAGTTCTGAGTTCTCTCCCTCTTTCCCATCCATTGAGAAGACAAGAAAAACAAAACCCTGTACAAATATGTAGAGTCATACAAAACAAATTCCTACGTTAATCATGTCCAAAAATAGAAAGAAAAAGAAAGAAAAGAAAATACGCTTCAATTTGTACTCTGAGTCCATCAACTCTCTTTCTGGAGGTGGATAGCATGTTTCTTCATGAGTCATTTAGAATTGTGGTTGATTATTGTGTCGATCAGAGTTAGTAAGGTTTTTTTTTTAAACTTATTTATTTTATTCTGAACTTAAGAAATAAGACAAGCATTTCAATAACAACGTGGGATGGAAAAACAGAGGATTGCATCTGAAATTGCAGATCCATTATGTATAACTTGCTATTCCTTTCAAATATAGTTGGATTTTTTCATTGCTGTTACTGTATAAATTGTTCTCCTGGTTCCACTCACTCACTCTGTATCAGTTCATAGACATCTTTCCAAGTTTCTCTGAAATCATCCCCTTTGTCATTTCTTATAGCACAATAGTATTCTCTCATATTCACAAACACAACTTGTTTAGTTATTCCCCAACTGATGGTCATCCCTCAGTTTCCAATTCTTTGCCACCACAAAAAAGAGCTGCTAAAAATATTTTTGTACATATAGGTCCATTTCCTCTTTCTTTAATCTCTTTGGGGAATAGACCTAGGAGTAAGTACAACTGAAAAGTTTTGGGGGCATAGTTCAAAATTACCCTCCAGAATGATTGGATGAGTTTACCAACAGTGCATTAAAGACCTATTTTCCTACATCTTGTAATTGTGTTCATATAGTTCTTGTGTGTACCTTGACAGGTATACTCCCAAGTGTTTTATACTGTTTGTAGTTATTTCAAATGTAATTTCTCTTTGTATCTCTTCCTGATGTCTTCTGTTGGTAATATACAGAAATATTGGGGATTTGTAAGAGTTTATTTTATATCCTGCAACTTTGCTGAAGTTGTGCATTGTTTTGATTCGTTTTTCAGTTGGGATTTTTAAGTAAACCATCATCTGCAAAAAGTGATACTTTTCTCTCCTCTTTGCCTATGCTTATTCCTTCGATACCTTTTTTCTTAGCCTATTGCTATACAATAGGATAGTACAATATTGAAGAGTAATAGCACAGCCTGGCATATAGTAGACGCTTAATAAATGTTTATTGGCTGATTGGTTTCAAGACAACTTTACAATCCCAAAGGACTAATGATGAAATATACTATCTGCCTCCAGAAAAAAAACTGATATTGTTTTGAATACAGACTGAAGCATGCTATTTTTCACTTTCTTTCATTTTTTCTTTTGTTTGAGTCTTCTTATACAAAATGACTAATATGAAAATGTTTTACATAATTGCACATGTATAACCAATATGTGATTGTTTACCATTTCAGGGAGGGAGGGATAGAATTTGGAACTCAAAACTTTAAATAAAAATGTTTTTAAAAAATAAAATACTGAGGATAAAAAAGGACTCCTTTTCACTCTTAAAAATCACTGAGGATCCCTTCCCCCAAAGAGCTTTTATTTATGATGGTAACTATCTATTGGTATTTTACTATATTCTAAATTAAGACATCTTAATATTAGTATGAAAATAGTTTTGACCTCATGGATCCCTCGAAAAGGTCCATGAACCACACTTTGAGAACTGCTGCAATGGAGCATGTTGTTATTATGAACTTAGATCATTTGAGCTTTGAGGGAAGGGAAATTAGGAAAATGAGAATGGGTAAATTTTTAAATTTATGTGATTGGATTTAATTGCTACAGGTACTGGAGAAATTGCAGGGTTACCTTGATGTGCTGGAACAGAGCTATTTGTCCGTCAAAGAGAAATATCAAACTTTACAGAACCACAATAAAAAATCTACAGCATTTGGAGAGTTTGATCCAGAAAGGTCAGATTTATTTAGAACAAATGGATTCCATTGGATTAGGCCATCTGTTGGCCTAATTCTTAGTCACTCCTCTTCTTTAGGATCAGAAAAGCATGTCCCACCTGTAATTTTGGAAAACCTCTTTTTTGATGAAGGCAACTACCAATGAATGCAGTATATATAGTAAAAAAGAGCCTGTAGGAGAAGAAATATTGACTGCCATCTCTCAGCATCGGCCACATTGCATTTTGTCATATTTCATGACATTTAATTCTGAGTTAAACAGGAGGAATAATGCTCCATGTCTTTTACAGGGCGGGGTTGAGGGAAGGATAACAACTGCAGTTTGCTCTTCACTCCTGAACAATTGCAAAGGCAAATTTTGGAGATTCCCTTCATCACTTTCTTGTCTTACACTCCTTCCCTTCCCCTTTTATGGTCTCCTTATTACTTTTTACTTTCTCCTACTCTTCTCATGGTCTCTTTTCTCCCCTTTTCTGTTCTCACCCTCAACAAAGTCCAAAGTGTTAAGTTGGGAGGGAAGTATACAGGGTAGGGGAAGAAGGAAGAGAAATCAATCACTGTGCCTAAATCCTTGGGCAATCACTGTGCCTAAATCCTTCAAGCCAAATGACTTTTGTTCTTGGTTTCAGCTGGCTTGAAAGACTTTGGCCTAAATGCATATTGAATGTGAAACTGGCATTATCCACTATGCAATATCCTTCCACCAACATACAAAGAGAAATATGGGTTAGAACTAGAAGCTACAATTATATCCAAGGAACTTCCTGATACATGCTAAAAGAAGTCATTCAGTAAGTTAAATTCTACATTCAACATTTGCATTAACAACTCTTTTTAACACAAAGCCATCTTGGATATAAAAATAATTTAATTCTTAAAATTTGAATACTAGCAACCTTAGACATTTTCTTTTCTGGAGGTGCATTTAAGCCTTAAAAATCAGTAAAACCTTGAATGCTGTGCTAGCTGACTCGAAAGCAAGGGATTATGTCTTGGCACTGATTGTTCCTTGGTTTCTTTTTAACTTGAAAACAAAACAAAACAAAACAAAAACCTAAAGCATATGTTCACAGCAATAATGAAAAATCATTAAATAATCTATTTGTCTATGAATTTCAGTTATTTGAGACATCATTTTAAAAACACACAATTCTTCCCAGAAGAAAAGACTACAGATAACATAATGCCTTATTTATAACCTAGTTACAACTAACCACATTCAGCACCAACATAAATCACAGGGTTTCCAATGCAATTACAGCCTATGCACAAAGAAGCTTTTACCAAAGGGAGGAGAAAAAGAGACAGAGCTCTCCAAATGACTAAGCTAATGGCATGGCCCTGCAAGGAGAGTCCTGAATGCAGTCTCCTTATGCTCTTTATCTAATGCGGCTTTGACCCAGGAGTGGCCAACAGGAGGAGAACAGGATGCCTTTACTTTTGCAAAGTTCCACCTGCCTGTGGTCAGGGGAGGCTTGATATGGAGCATACCCAAAGCACTGGATCCTCCTGCTCCTAAAGATCAATTTGTATATGTTCCATACAAACACATTTTCCATCTGTAATCACATTCTCTCACATATTTTTTCCTAGCATTTTACAGTTGCCCAAGCATTTTCTAGTGCATTATTTCGTCTGAGCCTGACAATAGCCCTCTAAAGTGGTAGTCAATAAGCATTTATTAGGCACCTACTATGTGCTGGGCTAATTGCTGGGAAAACAAAGAAAGGCCAAAGAGAGTCCTGCTCTCAAGCTTACTTATTTTTAGAGCCGGGTGAGGTGATTGATTGGTTTCTCTTATCTGTTTTCACTAATCAGTAGCAAATGCTCTCCAAATGGATGGCTTTGTAGTAAGTCTGTTAAATATCAAATAAATCAACTCTGACCCAAACTTACATGTTCTAGTAAAGTTTACTGAAAGATATTTGGAGTTACCATGACCATGGATGATGAGGCTAAGAAAATGGCTGCTGTCTGTCTCAGTGTTTCCTTGTGTAAGAGGGGTACTTCTTTGAACCATAGAGTGCCCTCATCCTACTTCATCTGGTAACCCATGTGGAGACCCATTTCGCAGGATGTCAGCAGCTAAGTTGCTTCCCAATTTTCCTTTTATATAAAGAAAGAGTTCTATGACTTGGGTGGGAGAGACTTAACTAGTTTCCTCACTTCTCAGGGATTCTAGTTAGGGCAATGATTGGTGGAAAAACAAGGTGTTATCTGTTTGTTGCCTTCGCTCCCAAATCCATAGTGTAGGATCCTTCAGCATGATAATTGGTTGAGGTGATGAAGGAGAGAGAAACGGAAGGGAGGCGGTAGATTCTCGCTCATACTGCAAGGCTGACCTTGAAAAGTTATACTTTACAGTACTGAGACAAGAGCCTGCCTTCATGTTCTTGGGCTGGGGCAGGGGAGTCGGGGGAATGGTGAGATATTTCTTATCTGTGTATTCCTAGAGCTGGGGGCAGCAAAGAGCAACAAAGATACTATTATGTTTGTTCATGGCCTGAATTTCTTGACTTCTCCCTAGACAGTCTCCAAGTTTTAAAGTATACTCTTTACAAAGGCAAAGTAAGTAAGGGAGTCTTCACTCAGAACTTTTGTCTTATACCTCATATATTGGGGTGAATGGGCGTTATCTCAGTTAAACTGAGATCTGGGAAAAACCTTAGCTTAAAAAAGGCCCAAGTCTGCACTGTATCTGGGGCCATCTCCAGTTGTCATGATCTATATCTTGCCACTGGACCCAGATGGCTCCAGAGGAGAAAGTGAGGCTGGTGACTTTGCACAGCCCTCCCTCACTTAAATCGAATTCACTTGCACATCATGGCGTCATCTCCCTGATGTCATGGTCCTCTTTGAGAACAAAGGACAAACAATATCTTGCATCTATGAGATGAATTAGTAGCAAGTCCTGGGGGACTGGAAATGCTTCCATTATGGGTAAGAAAAAGACTATTTTGCAAATGAGGAAACTGAGCCTTAGAGAGATTAAATTTAAAATGACTTATTCAAGGTCACACAATAAATGGCAGAAGGACTGAAAGTCAGGGTCTTCTGACTCCTGGTTTGGTACTCTTTTCACCATTCTTAATCCTATTTTTTTGTTTTAAATCAACTAGTCCACCTTAATAAAGCCATTACCTTCTCCGCTTATGTAAAAGATAATATTTTTGGACCATAGGAGTGTATTTGACTTTCATCTATCCAGCATTTGAGAGTAGAGTTCCATCTCGTTCAATTTTGTTTACACTAGTTAATAACAGTAATCTAAAGGTAGAGTCTTATCTAAGTTAACCAATGGTTATCCCTCATAAATCACTCAGCCCTTTTTACCTCTGTTTCCTCATCTATAAAATGAGCTGGAGAAGGAAATGGCAAACCACTCTAATATCTTTGCCAAGAAAATGCTAAATGGGGTCACAAAGAGTCAGACATGATCGAAACAACTCAATAATAACAATTGCTCATAAATAGGAGTGTAAATGGGACCTGGATTTGTGAATTTGACATTAACTGGAATAAATGTAATACATACACATATATACAAAGCTGTGTATATTATTCATACACATATATACACAAGACATATATACAAATATGTATACACACCCATCCACACATAACTTGTGTTTTCATGATGATTTGATGTTTGAACTAAGATTATTTTAGTTCATTACTATCATTAATGTAAGTAAGAGCCAACGTGCTTCAATTTCACACTTGTGGATTGTTTAATCTTCCATTTCATGTCAGGGACCCAGGTTAATTTAATATTTTCATTGGTATGGACATTTGTAAAAAAAAAAAAAGGTGCAGTTTTAAACTAACAAATCATTTGTCAGAGAATGATAGGTCTTAGAGTTAAAAATTATCATCCAAAGAACCTGATCCAGCTCTCTACCTTCAGGCAGGTAGGATGTTATTATCCCCATTTTACAAATTAAGCAATTGAGACCCAGAAAGATTAAGTGACTTGTTAGCTAGTAAGGAGGCTGGAGTGAGGACTGGAGCTCTGATCTTTGCAACAGAACTGCAAATAGGGCCCTGATCCGGGTATGGACTAATTTGTAATTTCTTTTTTGTAATTTTTGTAATTTCTTTTTACAGACATGAACATTTATGTGAACTATGATAAAACCTGTGTGATATTCATAAACTACTTTTATTAAATAGAATACTCAATATGTAGATTGTAAGGTGATTATCAGATTTAATTACAGTATACAATGTACTATTTATTTTCTTACTTGTTTAGAAAAGTTGAAGGTGAAATCTTTAAGGTTGAAATGCTCCTTGGAAATGTCAAAGAAAAAATTGAAGAAAGCACATCCAGTTCTTTTCTTCCACGTTCCTCTGATACTCTGGATCTTTTGGACTTTGCATTATGTCCACTCCCAAATGAGGTAATCCAGCGATTTATTATATAATTTGCTACTAGAAAAATTATTTTTATATGTTGTAGGATCTTAATTCATGGAATTGCCAGAGCTTATTTTATTTCTCTGTGATGAGACCTTAACTTTCAAATGTCCTGGGAATCATTTTGTCTAAAACAGAACTATTTTGGGGTCTTAGAAATTATTTTAAATGTTTGTTTTCCGAAAGTGCATGGGTTTAGGATGACTAGTATGAGACCAAAGCCAGTTCATGAAGATGAAATGCCAATGAAAAGGCTATTGCTGCCTCCCACCCCCACCCAGGGAAAATAGTGACAAGTTTTCTTGTGGAAGTTTCCTAGAAGAAACAATTTTATATAGAGTCAAACTTATCTAGGGAGGAATGGCATGTGGGCAGAGCACATCCTCAGTTTTTCCACTGAGGAGACCCTGTCAGAGGTACTCGGTGTATGTGTCAGTCTTGGCTTTTCAAGTATGATTCTTTATCTTCTAAATAGACAAAGGGAAATGTAATTTCCCAAGAATCTCCCTTTGATCTATCATTTTCTCAGTTCTGAGATATGTATGTAACCATACGTGCAAAATGAAATGGTAAATTAGAGTGATTTAATTACTTCAATTGCTTATTTCATCGTTTCCTCCCTCACCCTTTTGCTTCAATTATCTGAGAATTTTAGTCTAAATTGGAATTAGGAGTCTTGAATCATCTGGATACTTCTTCAATGTCTCTGTGATTTCATTGATGTGGACACTTCATTCACAGGTACAGGTATCCACCCCTCTGTTCCTTCTCATCTTGTGTGATTCTTGTCCATGTTTTCTCATCAATTCTCCACAGAGAACGTACCCGACATTCTGGAGGTCTTCCTCTGGGGCTCTTTACATTTTAAGGTTGCCAGTCTTTTGGACTGTCCTTTTATTTTAATCATGACCCACTTTTTTTTTCTAAATTGCCTGGGAAATGGTTTAAAGTCAGTATTCCTTTTCATACTTAACAACACAGTCTTGGACTACAATTTAAAAGTTGTGTGGCCTTTGGTCAGCACTTAAGAATCATTGATTGCATCACATAGAAAGTCCTAATTCTAACATGCTCTGATTGGCTTCCATCTTTGGAGAGTCTATTGATCCAATGACTAATAGTTATTATTATTTTTTTTTTGTTCAGGTCCCAATACAAGAAAATGGGCATGATCCTTCAGGAAAATCTAAGTGTGAAATAAAGCTTCTGGACCTTGGGAAACAAGGTCAAAGAAACACTCTCTTCTCTTTTCTCAAGGGGAAGGATGAAAGTGTTAATAAGAAAGAAGCCATTCCAGCAAAGAGCCAGGAGACTCCCTCACAAGGGTGCCTTTGTGAACTCTACCCACCGATGTGAGTATTTCATTCCTCAGCTGCTGAGGTTGAGAGGAGCTCAAATGGAGACCCACTTCCTCAAAGAGTATTCCCCTAGTATATAAAGACAGTCCAAGCTGGCAAAGTGATTTTTTTTGACATGTTATAAATTGAAGATAGCATGGATAGTCTGCCTGAGGCCATTTGTAATTTGGAAATGTCACAAGCAAAGGGAAAGAGAATAAACATTTATCAAGCACCTACTATGTACCAGCACTTTACAAATATTATCTCATTTTATGAGGGAGGTTGTTTAGTAACATTTAGTTGTTACATGATTCTGAGCAAGTCCTTTAATCCTTCCGAACCTCACTATCTGTCTTCCAATGTTGAGAGGAGAGCACTTTGTAAACCTGAAAGGACCATAGGAATGAGAGTCAGGATCTTGGTCTGGGACCCAGGGCTTCTCCTTCCCTCTGAGAGGGAAACTCTGGCATCTTCTCTGTCTGGTAGGAATGAGAGTCTCGTCCCCCAACCCAGTGAAGTGAAGCATCAGACCAACCTCTTTATATCTCAAGAGAACCAGAATCTCCTTGCCTTTCAGACATTCTGGAGTCAGTCATGGAGTCATAAAGTAGACATGTTAGTGAAGCAGGGGTCAAAGGCAGAGGCTCCAAAGGATGGACTTGACTCTCAGGGCCCATTGAGGACTGACTGCTGCTTTCTGTAGGAGCCACCAGTAACGCCGTTCCAAATGCTTTTCTATTAGCTACCTAGGATTACCCAGGAGAGATGATGCTTTTGATGCAGATGCTCCGAAGCTTGCTTCCAAGGAAGAAGTGGTAACGCTATCTCAGCTGGAGACAAATCAGCTGGCGGTGAAGCTCTCATCAGACTTAATGGTAGGAGACTGGTTAGTGGGAAGATGTTCTATTGTTCTCAAGGCATGTTTGACTCCCTTCTCTCCAAACTGACTCTGTAACTGCAACTCGTTTTGTGGAATATGAATTTGAAGTTGGTGTAATTAAGATCGTTTAGTCACAGATTCATATAATTCCAAAGTGGAAAAGAGTTACAGCATCATAGTCTTGCAGTTGAGAAGGACCTTGTGGCTCATCGAGTTCATCTCTCTCATTTTACTTATAGATGAGGAAAGAGAAGCCCAAGTAAGTGTTCAGTGTCTTGTTCAAGGCCACACATGTAGCAAGTGAAAGAGCTGTGATTTGAAACAAGGTCATCTGATTTAAGTCCATCTCTTTTTCGACCATACCACACTACCTCAAACTCCTTCCTCCTGAGCTTACAGATAGATAGTTAGATAGATAGATAGATATGAAGTGTTTCTAATGTTCCATGGCACTAAAATTAGGTTATGAGAATAGCCTATATGCCAGCATTGAGGACATTCTAGTATTAGGGATGAGGATGTTAGAAAGTAACAGGCAAGCTTAATGACTTGTGCCATCCATTGCTAACAATTTTTCATTTTTCAACATCTCAGAGATAAGTTTCATGAAGCTCAGTTCATTCTCCAACCAACTGGACCAACTGGAAATAGCAAGAATAAAACCCTCAGGTTTCTAATTTAAATCACACTTAATAACAAAGATCTAATCAAAAATGAGAAATGGACAACAAAATCACATAGAAACTGACTATAAGAATTTTATCCGGAAGTTCAAAAAATGTAAATGAATTGCTTCAGCAAGGAGACTAGAAGGTCCTAGAAAGCTTCTTAGTAAATATCTTGCTTATTTACCAAACAAAAGAGATGGTTGCCAAAGGCAACACTCGGTTAAAATAGGAATGTGTTTGGATAAAGAATAAGGGTTTCATCTCATAAAGAAACAGAAACAGTCAAGGGCAAAACCAGTTGAAAAAAGGTTGGCAAGAAAACCACTTAAACAAAGTCATCCGAAGGACATTTAAGGGTGAAAATGGAAGGAGGGCTACAAACAGAAGACAAATGGAAAAGATTTACAAAATCTGTTTTAACAAACTATTTTCTCCATCAAGATTAGTGAAACTATCTCACATGGACATTAACACCACAGTCCCGGATATACTCATGGAGGAGGTAGAAAATGACACTAAAGAGAAGAGAACAAAGGCAGAAAAGGCATCTGGACTGGATAAAGTCTATAGGGTGCCAAGGGACTGATACGTAAAGTATCTAAAGAAGGGTAAGATACAGAAGGTGTGGAAGAAGTCTTGAACTTTGTTAACACTAAAATAAAAAGACGATTTAGAGATCAACCACCAACTTTTACTCCTACAGCTACACACAACAATTTTAAGAGTCATCTATACATGAATTGAGAACATCCTCAAGGAATTAGTAGGGAAACAAGCAGGCTTATTCAAAAGTGAAATGCAACAATGGATTACATTTTTATCCTTTCTTTATTAATTAAAAGATGTAGATATTAGAAGATCTCAATGTGCTTATCAGTCGTTGATTACAAAGCATTTGATTCAGTTAAAAAAAAAGGCATCCTTACAGACTCTTCTACAACAAAGCATCTCCCATGCATGTATCAAACTATTTCAAGATTCTTTAGAAGATATGAGAACAGAAGTTACCCTATTCAATGGCCCTCTGATAATAAACATCAGATGAGTCATAAGACACGGAGATACATACTCATCAAAAGTATTTGCTACTGGGATAGAGGAGGTCCAGCACAGAGTCCAAGTCGAAGAGGGATGCCCTGGAAATGGTGAGATCCTCCAGATGGTCCTGTTTACAGATAACATTGTCCTCATTGCATCAAGTTCCAGAACTTTCCAAAGCCTCCTAAGAGAGATCTCTAATCACTAAAAGGAGTTTGACCTGTTCGTCCACACAAGAAAGATCAAATAGATGAAGAATGCCAATTGACTTGTCCAACAATATGTGTGTGTGTGTGTGTGTGTGTGTGTATTTAGGACAGATAGTACAGATGGACAGAGAACTGGGCCTCAAGATAAGTGAGGACTATGGGGCAGGGGCAGAGGAGGACAGCAGGCTGTATTGCTTTTTTTTTTATTTTTTTTTAGGCAACTGGGGTTAAGTGACTTGCCCAGGGTCACACAGCTAGTAAGGGTTAAGTGTTTGGTCTGAAGCTGGATTTGAACTCAGGTCCTCCTGACTTCAGGGCCGGTGCTCTATCCACTGTGCCACCTAGTTGCCCCTAGTCTGTATTGTTTTCAGAAAATTGCAAAACTTTTAATTACCTCAAGCTTCCCATGAAAGCAAAAGCCCATCTTTTCAATAGTAACATTTTACTGGTGTCACTGTATGGCAGCAAGATGTGGAACACTACTTGCCTTTAAAAAGAATTAATAAAATAAGTATCACACAGAGGAAAACAGAGAGGTATACAGTGAGTGTAAACAGGCTGCAATACATAATGAAAAATGGACACAGATGAAAAGGAGTAAAGGATATCATTAGAGGATTGTCTGACAGAAAGAGAAGAGCAAGGAATGGCAGGTGGGCAACCAGAGGGCTACACTTTGAGATGTTGGGAAAAAGCAAGGAAAACCTCTGGCACATTATATGGACCCTCTGTTTTGAACTTTGGGGAGGACATGGACAAGAGTCACAAGATAGGAATGGATGGGCTATCATCTCCAATGAGGTATAGCTTCCTGGTCATTTCCCAGGAGACATGGCAGCTACTATCACCAACCTCACTAGAGGAGGAGTAATCAGAAGGGCCTTAGATTAATTGTGCTTCTTTTAACTTTCCCCAAATGGAATCTAAAGTCAGGAAATCAAGGTAGTTTAGTGGACTGTCAAAAAATATCTTGCCATGGGATATTTGGTCACCTTTGGTCACAGCATTTTGCTGTGCTCATGATCAATATTTGGAAAAATATTGCTCCCTCATGAAAATCATTTCAGCTTTTACACCAACATCTCTCATAGATAATGAGCAGGTAGAGAAATTCCAAGATGAAGCAGAGGAGGCCTTACAAATTTGTTATGTTTTGATAGTTGAGGACATCAATTTAAGGTGTGTATAGGTTAGCCCCATGACAAATATTTTGGAAAAAAGTGACTCAGATGTGAGGAATGAGAGAAACTGAGCACTTGTGTACTACACAGAAGTTTCATATCTATACGTGATGAATACGTTATTTGAGAGATGATGGCCAACAAATAATATCACAATAAAAGGAAAGTGGTTCTATTTTAACAAACAGATGTGACTCGAAGTGAGCATCATTCCTGAATTAGCCATCTCTGTGCAGTCAGACCATTTTTTTTAAGAACAAAAATGAAATTAATACAAATCTAGAAGAATGAAAAAGAGAAAAAGGAAAGCATATTTTCCCATCCAGATAAGAATAACCTACACATGCATTGACGACATCTTGGATGAGTGGATTAGAAGGCACCATGCAGATTTTTGCAAGAGGTATTCTATTGCAGACACATCTTTACCAAATGGTAGTTGATTGAAAGGATCATTGATTTAGGACTAGAAGGAACCTCAAAGATTATCTAGTCCTATCTCCTCATTTTCCAGATAAGGAAACTGAGGCCTGGGGAGGTTAAGTGACTTGTCCAAAGTCACTACTTATAAGCAGTAAGTATTGGAGTCAGGGTTTAAACACAAAGCCAGCCATTCTAAAGCTATTTCTCTTTCCACTATACCAGGCTTCCTTCCAAGGCATAGACAATACAAGACTTCACCATGTTTATAGCTTGTTGACTATAAAAAAAGTAAAACATTGCCTTCAAGGCTCTCTTTCAACAAAATATGCCCCATACAAACTCTCTCCAAAATTAACATTTACCTGTGTAATGTCGTGCATAAAAACACAATGAGGATCCCCTGTTTGATATCCTCCTGATTATTAATATCAAGTGATGCAGAAAATAGTTGGGTCAAATGTGTCTTCCATTGTCATTGAGGAGATCCACTGGGGAACCCGTATCAAAAAGGGAGTCCCTAAAGATGGTGAGGTGCTCCAGATGATCCTTGGTATGGATGATATTGGGCTGATTGCATCAATCCCAGAACACTGAGGCGCTTCTCAGCTGACAGCCATAATTACTCAAAACAATTTGGACTAACCACACAGGAAAAAAACCAAATGGATGAAGAATACATATTATCTAGATTGTGATAAGCAGTTTCAAGTTGAATCTTTCAGTATCTATATCTTGGAAAGACTCTGCAAGCAGACAACAGTCTGGGCCCAGGATTTAACAAGAGGAGAAAAGTAAGTTGGATTTCTTTTGGGAAACTGCAAAGTTCTTTTAAAGTTCCCATTTTTAATGCCAATATTCTTCCAGTGATGTTATATGACTGCAAACGAGGGAGCGTTAAAGTCTCTGAAGAATTAAAATTGAGAATTACTCAAAATGCAGTGGAAAGGAAATGGTGGGCGTGAGCAAGCAGCAAACCATGACAAACAAGGAGTTTGATAGAAGTTAAAAAGAAGAGGGGTTGGTCATGAGGCACGAGGGGGGGATAATCAACAAATAGCTCAGGTGCTCCATTGGTATCCTCATGAACTCAAGAGAATTTGACAAAGGCCCCTAATATGTTGGATGAATACCATATGGGAAGGGAGGACACAGGTGAAAGTTATACAGGATAGGCAGGCATGGATAATATAAGCTTCTAATAGAACTTAATAGAACTCAAACTCTTCCCATTAGAGTGTGAACTTGTTGAGGGCAGGCATTGACTTTGCCTTTCTTTATATGCCCCAACACTGAGCATATAATGAGTATTTAATAAATTCTTGTTGATTGATTGATGAAAGGTAGTTATTCCCATGTGGTTGGAGGCAATATTGGTGTCGAAAATGTCATTGTTCCTTTGCTGTATTAGAGAATTCTTGAGTTTGATTTTCTTATCAAAAATATTCATCACCTGGCAGCTAACCCTCTAGTGATGAATATTTCTGTGCTTAGCTAGCATGATCCATAGCTGGCAGTCTGACCTAAGTCTTGCAGGTAAAAATTTTATAGTTGGGCAAGACCTATAAGAGTTTATGGTCTGCTGGTCTGACCTTCAGGAACACAGGACCTAGCCTGGGTGACCCCATGAGGCATCAGAGTTGGACTTGAATGGAGGTTCCTGGCCTTGCTAAGACTTTTTCCAAAAAGTCAAATGTCAGAAAGGGTTTCCAGTGGTAGGAGAATCTTGTACCTCTAAACAGAAGTGGTAAATTTGATAATGGTAAAGACATTTAAAACTTGGCAGAGCCTGCCTGCCTTACTTCTTCAAGCTGGATGATTTTGATTCAAGACAGTATGTTGGAATTTCTAGGTGGTACAGTGGATAGAGAACTGGGCCTGGAGTTAGGAAGAAGACCTGAGTTCAAATTAGGCCTCAGAACTTATTAGTTGTGTGATTCTGGGCAAATCACAACTTTAGTTTGCCTCAGTTTCCTCAACTGTAAAATGAGGATAGTAAACAACACATACCTTGCAGGGTTTTTGTAAGGATTAAATGAGATAATATTTATAAACACTTAGCACAATGACTTCCACACAGTAGGCACGATATAAATGCTTATTCTCTTTCCTTCCACTTCTATTTATCAGTAATCACAGGCTTACTTAACTAGCTATATTGGTCTTGAGCATCTCATTTTGCATTTCTGGGCCTCAGTTTCCTCACCTGTAAAATTAGGGGATTGTATTAGATAATCTCTAACGTGCCTCCCAGCTCTAAATCCCATGATCCTATGAATTCAGATGAGTCAGTGTTATTCAGAAAAAAAAGGTATGAAGCAATGAGAATGAGTCAATGTCCTTAAAACCAATGTGTTTTGCTTTGGGGTGCAGAGGGCCTTCTCTTCTCTGGAGTCTGATGATGATCCTGGAAGCTTAGAGTCCATGAAGCAATCTGTATTGAGGCAAGATTGGCACTCTGATCATGAACTCCCTGAAAGGTAAGGGCTTGGCGCGTGAATCATCATAGAGGAGCGAGTTGTGCAAGAGCAAATAGAATAAATCTAAAGGTGTCAAGCCTGAAGCTCTATTCTCAACTCAGCCATTTGAACACAGGGCCTTGAATATCATCTGTCAAATTTCTTTCCCCTTTTCTATGAAACAAGGGTCGACACTGGCTGGTATTGAGATGATTCCAGAGAGAACGTGGGTCAGCGGCTGCAATTTTAAAATGAAAGGCCCTGTGTTTCTAAGTTAAGGTTAACCCTACTGTCATTCTAGAAATATGTATTAGGGCAATCAAATTATTATAATGTGTGGGTTCATGATTGTGTGGGTCTTCCACCAAGGCAGGCACACCTCCACAAACCTAATTAATGATGCATCATGGACTAATACCAAAGTTTAGGGTAATTGTCCAATGAAAGGTCAGCAGCGAGGCATGTGACCAGGTTTGAAAGACTGAAGATTCCTGTTAGAAAACATTCCAGCCAAAGGGCTGCTGCTGTCACAAGATTTCTATTAAGTTACTCCCTCTAAAAAGTGGCAAGGTGGTTATTGGGCTAAAAACAACCATGTGTCATCTGGGGTGGCCCTTTACTCAACGTCAACTTGACAGGAATCAGCTGAGCCCTGCTTTTGAATATTAGTATTAATAATACCTATTCACTGAGTCACCCTATCTTTTTACTTAATGAAGA